CCTTTTTAAAATAATGTTAGCATTATTAATAATTCTCATTCAAAGGTGTCAACATTACACACACAGAAAAGCGCTTGTGAGTAAGCGTGAACCCACAAATTGCATGGGACAAGCTAGGCCCTCCGTGCATTCAAACGCAGTAAATGCAGCGGTGCAGCCAAACACTCTAACCATTACACTACGCTATCATTATTCAATTCAAAAGATTATGACATTAGTTATTGCTTATTCTGAAGGAACGCACTTAATAAAAACTGCACCAAGCTCGCAAACATTAATAAAATCAATTGATGATATGACGGATTTAGCCCAGGTTGATGCGAGCGTATTGATGCAATTATTGTTGGACACTTTTTTCTAAATGATATCATTTTCGTCACCGTTATTACTTTGAAATAAAATTGCTAATTAGTAAGCTAATGGGCTCATTTAAGAGCAATTAGCGTTAAGTTGGCTCTAATTAGTTTTAATTGAAATCAATCTACCACGAGTGCCACTTTTAGAAACAATTAATAATTAAAATAATTTAATTGTCTATAGATGGCCTAACATAAGTAATGATGACGTCACAATCCCAGTTGAATGTGAGGGTTTAGATGAATGTACGCTGTTCAGTTAACCAGTTTTATTAACAAATAAACAATTTTTTCCAATTCCAATAATAAAATGAAATTTAAAATCATCAAAAATTACTTATCAACGACGCTTCTATCTTCACTCTCCATCTCTGTGACGAGGTTCACCAAACTTTTCCATTCATTCGTCAACTGGAGGGCCGATGATTGCACACCGTTGTCTACATTTAATTTAATTAAGACAATAAAATTGAATACTTTAACCAGCTAATTATTTAATTATTCAATTAACTAAATAACTAATTAAAGCAGTTTGAGAGAAATTTTTTGAAATTTATTACGAAATGTACATTCGTAATGGGCGTATGTATACAAACGTAGTTTATTTCTATTGGTTATAATTTTTATTTCAATTTTCAGAGTCTGTTCCTCGATGTTCATCTATCTAAATTTAAATTTGATAGATCTATGCTTCTATTTATAGATATAATCTTCAATGTTTATCCATCTAAATCTATCAAATTTATCTACACCCTGTAGTAATCGATTTAAAATTTCTAACAAAATTTTTTTTTTTCAAAATATACCTGTCACCTGATTGCATAGAAACTCAAGCAAAAAAAATTATTGAGACGCTTAGACATCATTGATTGGCTGTTTTATTAAATTTTTATTTTTTAAATATGAGTAAATATATATATATAAGTATAATTATTTATAATTATGTTCCAGTTATATTATATTTAGTTATAATTATATATATATATATATATATATATATATATATATATATATTATAGACTTAATTAAATTCGGACTTAAATTCAACCATAATGATAATGAAAATTTTCCTTAAATCTTTTATTCTAAAAGGATAAATTTTGCTAAAAAATTTGATACAACATGGATAAAATGTTGATGTAGATACAAAATGTTATTTTCAATTTAGAAACTTAATTATTTATTTGGAAAAAAATAAAAAATTAAGGATGAGAAATGAGGAAAGAAAGACTGCCAACCAAATGATGCTGACAGTTTTTCGTCCGTATTCAAACCTCCATTCATTATAAAGTTCTGTGGTAGATGAAATTTCAAAAAAATAACAATAATCTTTGAATTTTTGCTAAGTTTGCTTAATTAATTATAAATGAAACAAATGTATAAATTTTATTTAATTTTTATTCGTATTTGTCTCAGCCATCTAGTAGCTTACATCTATGTTTATTTGATCCTTAGAGGCCAATAACTCGCCCAATTTCGATATGAAATCTTCGTTAAACGCTTCATCATTTAATCCACTGAAAAGAGATTCAGTGTCTTTGGTGCAGTTTGAATAGCATGCGGAAATGGATCTTTTCCGGTCATCGGCTGCCGGAAAATGAAGATTTTCTTGAAAGTTAGAAGCCTCTGCCATTGTAGTAACTGGATTGTTGTTGGTGTTGTTGATGTTGTTGTTTATGTTGTTGCTGATGTTGTTATTGATGTTTTTGTGAAGATTATTGATGTTATTGTTGTTGTTGTTTGCTGGGGTCATCGCTGGTGTCATGGGATCGATGTTTTTTAATGTCGTTGTTGTTGCGGGAGTTGATGTCGGGGTGGCTGGAGTTGGGATTTGATTGTTGTTGTTGTTTATGTTGTTGTTGATGTTAATGTTAGTGTTGTTGATGTTAGTGTTGTTGATGTTGTTGTTGTTGTTACTTGTCGTTGCATGATTTGAAGAGAATGACTGAGTTTTTGAGTTATCATTTTTAAACGATGCATCATTAATGTTCGCAACTTGGTTGTTGTTATTGTTGGTGATATTATTGATGTTGTTGTTGTTGATGTTGTTGTTGATATTATTGTTGTTGATGTTGTTGTTGTTGTTGTTGTTGTTGCTGGTACCGATAGAAGTCGAGTTGTTTTTCAACAGGACGTTTTCGTGTTGGTTATTGTTGTGGAAATTTTCAGAAATTTTTTCAAGTGACGCGGATACGCTGGTAATGTTGCTGATGTTATTGTTGTTGTTGTGTATGTTCTTGTTGACGTTGTTGTTGTTTACGTTGTTGTTGATATTGTTGTTTACGTTGTTGTTAGCAGTTTTGTTATTATTATTATTGTTGTTGTTGTTGTTGTTGTTTGAAGGGTAGGTAACATTCGTTGGATTAGTGAAGCCCTAGAAATTATTATGACATCATCATCATCATCATTATTATTATTATTATTATTATTATTATTAGGAAAATGATGACGATGACTACAACATCAGCAACAACATAAACAACATAATGATGACGATGGTGATGGTAACGATGATAATGATGGTGGTTGTTTGGTTTTATTCTAAAAATATGGACCTATTGTTGGGGTTCGTTCGGGTTTGGCCTGCTAATTACTTATTCATGGAGGGATTATGTTTGTATGGCCCGTTCTGACAAACGATGGAAACAAAAAACCAAAAAAAAAACCATCAGAAACAAAACAAAAACAAAACTAACAGCAAAACAAAATTACCAGACAAAAAACTAACAAGGAACACAGACAAACAAACAAACAAACAAACAAACAAAACGCAAACGAAACAAAGAAATAAAAACAAACAAATCATTAGAAACTCAGCATAGTCAAAAAAAATTCAAAAAAAAAGAACAAAGAACATATATAACATACAAAATACAACGAGAAAATATATTGTCTCAAAACAATTCTTTGAAACAAATACAGGAAAAAATTATTTGCAAATAAAATATAATGATGATTTGATAATGTTCTATATGATATGAATCAATGAGCAAACGAACGAAAGAACAACCGAACGAACGAACGAACGAACGAACGAACGAGCGAATGAATGTATGAACAAACGAACGAGCGCAAACACAAAAATATATTTTATTCATTCATCTTTTCTTTCTAATTAATATTTCCAATAATAATCGTAAAATAATAATGAAATTGATATTTTAAATTAAAAAAAACAACCTCATTATTTAATGGCTTGTATTCAATCTCGTCGTTCGGATTGTGCTCGTATTTGACGTTATCATCTTTTTCCTCACCCAACTCCTGGCGACAGTTTTATAATTAATGATTTCAAATAAGTGAGCCACACACACACACGCACACGCACACACACATGAACGTAAACACACACACGCACGTGAACTTACACTCATCACACACAAATATATGTACTTTTCGAGTACATGTGTGTGCGTGTATGTGTGTGTGTTGGTGCATGTGCGTGTGTGTGTTTGTGCATGTGTGTATGTGCGTGGGTGTATTTGTATTTAGTCGTTATGATTAAATCAATTATTATTATTCAATAGTCCACTTTGTTTATTTAATTAAATTTAAACTAATCATTTATTTACTCATTCATTCGTTCATTCGTTCGTTCGTTCGTTCGTTCAATCAATCATTTATTCATTCATTCATTTATTCATTCATTTATTCATTCATTCTTTCATTCATTCATTCATTCACAATTCACATACATTAAAATTGTAGTCATCGCAATTTTCTTCTTTAAGTTCTTTTCTTTTCAACATCTAAAGAAAAATTTCGCTATTATCAAATTTATAGTGAAAAACTTCATAAAATTAATCTTACATTATACTTAGATTTATTTAAAAATTATATATTTTTTATTTTAAACGAAAAAAATTTGGCTGCTTAACAGTCAAAACATTCTACTCTGAGTTAAAATTGATTTAAATGTGGTGTAGCACATACATCAGGCGTTCGATTGCACACATGTCGTGAAGACCACATAATTTAACCCACAAATGAATATTTATATAAGTTGATTCCATTTCTAATTTTTCATTGTCAAAAAATATGAACCACCTCCTTATGTATATCTCTATTATTTGTTAGTAAAACGCGATTTAGCTAGCCATCAACCCAACATAATTAATAAAAAACAGTATAGAGTTGTGAAAATTTACAACAACGTTTTAAAAACCAAACTAACAATCTATATCTACCCAATAAAACAAAAAAAACCACCCAACAAACAAACTGCCAAAATAATCACCCAAAACCCAACAAACACCCGACAACCAGCCAACAACCAACCAACCATCCAACCAATCACCCATCGTCCCAAACAAACTCACACCTCAATAATATCTTTGCTAGTTCTACTCTCGTGTGGGTTGTTATGTTCGGTGTACTTTAGGAGCACCTTGTCCATATCGGAGCTGGCAAACTGGAAGAGTTTGTTGGCACTGTTGAAGACGATCAGTGCGATCTCGCAGTCGCAAAGAACGCTCAGTTCGTAGGCTTTTTTCATTAGGCCAAATTTTCGTTTCGTGAATGTCACCTGGTTGTTAGTTTTTTGTTTTGAGAGGTGTTTCAAGTCTTATTGGGTTCGTTGTTTGGTTAATTGATTGAGTGATTAAATGATTGATTGATTTTTTGTTTGTTTGTTTAATTATTTATTCATTCATTTGTTTGTTTTTTAATTAATTAATTTGTTTGTTTAGTTAGGTAGTAATTTGAGTGTTCAATTATTTATTCAATTCACTCAACGCAATTGTCTAGCAAGTATTTCTACATTTGAAAATAAAAATGCAATGCAAATGCTGTTTAATGTCATCGCTCAAAGTTTGAGAACTAAGTTGATGGTGGCTTGAACATGATGACAATCTTTGCTGAAAATTATGGTGGTGAGTAAGTTGACAGTGATGGTGACGACGACGATGATGATGATAATGGTGATGGTGGTGACAATGATGGTGATGATGACAATGATAATGATGATGACAATGATGGTGATGGTGAGGATGATGACGAGGACTTTTAAGACGGCTTCGCTTGTTTGTTGACACGCGTCCGGCATAACGAAGCAAATTAAAGTAATACAACGATGTTCGAGATGATGATGATGGTGGTGGTGGTGATGATGATGATGATGATGTTGATGATGATGGTGATGATGGTGGTGATGATGATAATGATGATGATGATTGTGGTTGAAAAATTGAACAGTGTTACCGAATAACGGCTATATGGAGCGTTGTCAGAGTATCTTGAAAATGAGAAATGAAAAATTTTACTAGGGTTAAGACTGAAATGAATCAAATACAATAATAATAATAATAATAATAATAATAATAATAATAATAATAATAACAAGAGGCATAAATAAATAATAGAAATAGCAAAAATATTACTAAGTAGGCAATGC